CTCATGATAATAAGATGATTTTAACCATAAAAATCCATCAATGCAAAGCTGAAGTTCAATGTTATGTAGCTCCTTTTGTTACAGAAAAATAAAGAAAACAAAAATACAGAAAAGCTAAATTATAAAATCACTAGCAGGAAAATGTATAATGAAAGAATAATTATATGAGTGGGCAATGTGGCTCATGTCCCGGGCTAGGAGTTTGAACCCCCAAATCACAACAACAAAACATTGAAAATTTCAGACATCTGTGCTAATAGCATGCACAAGAGACTTCATTTCTCAAATTCTAATTTGCAGTTACATGACGAAACTTCCAATAAAAGAGAAGAATGATTCAGGGTTAAAAGGATTTAGGAACTTTCTGGATTCCTTTGGCTCCTCCCCCGACCCCATCAGCCTTTCCACTGCAACAGCTTCTTCTTGGAGGCCCATTCTCAGTTTCAGTTCCTTCATTTGGCAGAATATTGTGTATCATTCTGATTTTGTCTTCCCAGATGTCAGGGCTTGGAAGAATCATGAACAGATGGGAAGGGCACAGCCACGTATTGAATTCAGACGTACCATTTCTATGGGATCTATACTAACTAAAACCCTGTGTCAAAGTTGATATGGCTGAATTAAACTGAGATCAAAGAAACTCTTACTCCTGTTTCAGATTCCAGCACTGAACAATTTCAAGGAAAAAAGAAAAGAAAGAAGGAAGGAAAGAAGGCAGGCAGCAGGCAGGAAAGGCGGAAGGAAGGCAGGAAGGAAGGAAGCAAGCAAGCAAGCAAGCAAACAAGCAAGCAAGCAAGCTGGCTGCAGAGACACACATCTATAATCCCGGCACTGGAGAAGCTAAAGCAGGAAATTATGAATTCACAGCCAGCCTGAGCTCTATAGGCTATCTAGAGTAAAACCCTATCTCACCAAAACAGACAAAACAAAACAAAAATTCTAATATAACTCAAGTAATACACAGATAGCATTAAATCATCCCAAATGGTAGCCAGTAGCTGCTACATGGCAAAGGCACGTGTTTTACTTTTCAATATGCTAACCACCTGGCTTTTCCTAGAAATCATGAAATCTGAAAAGAGATCATTAAGGTTGAGCTTGCCATGGGACTAGAGACGGGTGAGGGCGTGCAAGGAAATGACAGATTGGCGTGTGAAAAGTAGCTCGGGTTTCCTCTGTAACTTTCATGTTCCCACTGGAACAATATGGTTAACACTAACAATTTCGAACTCAGAATCTCTGTGGAGATTTCTTGGCTACTTAATTCTCCAATCAATACAGTCTGGAAAGAGATAAAGAGGATGTTCCAAATAGCTAACTACTTGAACTTGTGATGTAATAGCGAAATCTGTTCAAACCTGTCCAAGAATCCCAAACTTCCATTTGCATAGATAGATAGATAGATAGATAGATAGATAGATAGATAGATAGATAGATAGAGATACAATGATACACTGATACATTGATACATAGATGCATAGATGATATATAGATATATAGATACAGACACATAGATCAATCCAATTTTGCCTATTTGTCAAGCTCCTTCAGCAGACTTATGCATATTAGACAAATGTTTTCATTCAGAGAACATAAAATTTTTATTTTTATTTTTATTTCTCCAAGGAACCAAACCCATATACTCAAATGAACATTTTTATTGCAAGAATATCTTTAAATATAATGTCAATTAGAGAAGTAGCATTTGCTTATTTTTAAGTCTTCCCTCATGTATGCAATCATTACTTCAGTATGCATTCATCCATTTCTTTTTTTATCCACTGAGGAGAGAAGAGTGAGGGGTGACATTGATCGAAACGCATCACCCTCATGAACTGACCTGTTAGATTGAAACCCCTTTGTACAGATCCTTTTATTATCTTTTCAAAGGTAATAAAACCTAATGGTCCCATTTTATCCCAGTCAAATTGGCCAACACTGTGAATCTAAACAACAACAAATGTTGGTGAGATTGGGGGAACCCTACTGCACTGTTGGTGAAAGTGTAAACTGGTACAACCACTCTGGACAGCAATCTGGAGGTTCCTCTAAAACCTACACATAGATCTTCTCTGTGACCCTGCCAAACCGCCCTTGGGCATCTACCCAGAACGTCATAAGCCAGGAGACAGCAAAGACACTTGCACATCCATGTTCACTGCTGCACTATTCACAAGAGCCGAGTCGTGGAAACAGCCCAGATGCCCTACAGTAGAGGAGTGGATCCAAAAAAATGTGGTACCTATACACAAGGAATTTTACACAGCCATTAGCAAGAATAAGATTATGTCATTTGCAGGGAAATGGATAGACTAGAACAAATCATGTTAAGTGAGGTAAGCCAAGCTCAGCAAGACAAATGGTGTATATTTTCTCTCCCGTGTGGAAGATGGATTGAAAGTACACTGGGACGTGATAAATTATACAGGATTTTAGGCATTCACACACAGTGAGACTAAAAGGGAATACTCTTAGAAAAGGAATACAGAGATGCAATGCCCGTGTGCCTCTAATCATATAAAATTATATTGATCAAAATGAACTCCAAGAATTGGAAACAAGAGGATTTCCTCCACTGTTGTTTGTGCTTTCTTTTTGTCTTGTTTGTTCATTTATCTGTCTTCGGGAGGGTGAGAGACAAGGTAAACGGATGCAGCAGTGGTACTCACTGAACGCTATGTTGGAAATGAACTATACAACCTGTGGGTGGGGACAGAAGGGGAAATTAAGATAGAGTGAGGGAAGGGGTGACACTGTCCAAAAAGAAATGTGCTCACTACCTGTCCTGCATGACTGTAACCCTATACATCATCTTTACAAAATCAATAAAAAAATTTTAAGCAATAGGTTTCCTTATGACATTTTTCTACATGTATGTAACGTACTTTGACCAAATTCACTCCTGATTGCCCTGTCTTGCCCTCCACCCTCCAGCTGGTCCCTTTCATCTTCCTGAATAGCCCATCTGTGACTTTCCAGTCAAACATTTATTGTACAGCCAATACAGTCTATCATTATAACATGACCCCAAAATAAAAGAGTGTCTGGCATACGGTAGGAACTATGCAGTGGGGGGTCAGGGAGTGCTGGGGATCACACCTAGGGCCTTTTGCATGCTGGGTAATTGTTCTACTGCTGAGCCACACCCCTAACTCCTTTGTAGGAAGTCTTTCTGTGGGAATGGTGCCATCCTACAAAAGCAGCAGTGTTCTTAAACCTGTCCTCTGAGCTCTACCGCCCCAGCCCCACGGCCTGTGCTAAGTTCTTTAGCTATTCTATACTAAACTTACTCAGCTATAAAGCAAGCTTCCCACCAAGGGAGTTAGTTCATTAGGAGGCTTTAAAAAAATCATACTCGGTGCCCAGTGCCAGTAGTTCACACTTATCATCCTAGCTACTCCGGAGGCTGAGATGTGAAGATTGTGGTTCAAAATTATCCCAGGCAAGCAGGTCTGTGAGACTTTTATCTCCAATTAACTACCAAAAAGCCAGGAAGAAAAAGCTCAGGGACAGAGCCCAGGCCCTGATTTCAAACCCCAGGACTGGCAAAAAAAAAAAAAAATCATACTTAGAACAGTATTTAGTAAGAAGACTCAAATATGTTGGCTGCGAATCATGGCTCAAGTTCAAGTTATGAATCTGTAGAGAGTACTGTCAGTATTTTTATTACCCAAAGTTCAGAACAGTAGTTGTTACACAATAAATACAATTTAACAAAAACATCAGGGGAAATGAAACAAAAAACCCAGACAATCTTGTAAGTTGCAAAAACAAGTTAAAACTTCTTTGGTTCAGAGATCAATTTGAAAAGCAGACTGAAGTAACAGTGTCACACACACACACACACACACACACACACACGTGCACACGCACACGCACGCACACACACAGCATTTCTGGCTCCCTTTCTGAAATCCATCAGAGTCAGCAAGCCTGAGACAGAGAACCTCCTAGGATTAGCTTCCAAACTCTGGGTCACAGTGACATTGAGGTCATCCTCCAGATTAAGTTTCTAAGTATTCATTTCACTGGCAAACTCCATGTCTTGTAATGGCGCTTTGACACTTACTGTATTAATTTCTGCAATTAAAACATCCTATTATTTTTACTGGGCGTGGTGATTCATGCCTGTGATCCCAGCTACTCGGGAGGTAGAAACAGGAGGATTTAATGCTGGAGGCCAGTCTGAGCGAGGTTAGAGCACCCTCAGGCCCTGGAAGGGAGCCACAGCAGGGAGCAAGAGGTAGAGTGGGAACAATATATTCCTTTCCCCAAGCCCAGAGGAAGCAGCAGGAAACCTTCAACAAGAACAGATGTTTGTATTGCCCAGGGCAAATGTGCAGAGAACACACCCCAAATTTATGGGAGAAACTACAACCTGTCAGAAGCTCTGAGCCTGGGAATCAACACCCGGCCCTGGCTCGTCCGGGTGGCAAAAGCAGGTCAGAGTGCAGAAAGAACCCTTCCTTCCCCATCTGACGGGGGACAGGAGAAATAGAAACAAAACATACACCAAACACCATTAAAACAATTGTTGAGATGCTTCTTACCTTGAAGTGAACCGTCAGCTTCATTACTTAAGACCTCTAGAATGGCTATGGCTGTAGCTTCTCAATATCAATATCTTGGTGTTCTTTCTTTTATACCTCCTCCCTACATCACTTCATTTATTTGTGTGTGTGTGTGTGTGTGTGTGTGTGTGTGTGTGTGTGTGTGTGTGTGCCAGTCCTGGGACTTGAACTCAGAGCCTGAGCCTGCCGTGTAGCTTTTTCTCTCAAGGTGGGTGCTCTACCCCCTGAACCACCCCTCCACTTCTAGTTTTTTGCTTCCTTAACTGGAGATTTAAAAATAATAATAAAATCTCCAGAGACTGCAGCCTGAGCTGGCTCTCAGCTTGGTCCTCAGCTCTCAGGCCCCCGGACAGATTAGATTACAGGCTGAGCCAGCAGCTAGGGCGGGGCGCTGCTAGGTGGCTTTGGAAGCAACCCCCAGGAGCTCACCTTTGCCTGTGCACTGCGCGGACGCTGACGCTTTCCATCCAGCGGGCCACCCGTCCCGTCCCTGGATCCTAACCCAGAAACCCAGCCAGCCCAGAGGGTCCCCGCGCGGCCCGGACGCGGCCCTGCGCTGCACTTTAGAAGGGAAGTCCTACAGTGCGTCCTGGGAGGCGGCCAGCCCGTGGCAGCCACTTGGCTGCTTTGCTTTTTCTCCCCATCTGGCTGGATCTGTCGAGCGCCTGCCAACCACGCGAGCAGCTCTGCACACACCTGCGACGTCACACCGCGAGCGCCGCGCCCGGAGCCCCGGGAACCGCACGGCTGCCCGGCCCTCGCGTGGCGCGCCCGGCCCTGGCCGACCCTCGACGCCGGTTTCCTGCCCCCACGGGAGGGAGAGGCCCCTCCTCCGACAGCAGAGGTGGAAATCCAGGGGCTCGCGCGCGCCCCATCTCCCCAGCCTGCGGGGAGCTGGAGGCGGGGCCCGGGAGAGGACGCGGGAACGGGGGTGCGGGGCGCCGCGGTACCTGGTGGTGACCTTTGAGCTCTTGGGTGTAGAACCCAAGTCTCCCGGCGGCCTGGGCTTCCCAGCTCCGCAGCGTGGCGGGCGCAG